TCTCCAACACTAATGTTGATGCAGTAGGAAGTTCTGCGACGGCAAAAGTGTGCAGGAACTAACTATAGCTCTACAGCGTGCGAGGGACCGAAGACAACGTCTTATCAACACAACCATCCTTCAAGCCATTTCCGGACTAGTCATCACTCCGTGGTGGCCGTTGAAAGACCCCTCGGCCTAACCAGACATGCGGTGACCGAGAGCACCACCCAGCAGCTTGTGTCCGCAATGGACGCCTACCCGGAAGATTATGTCGCCCACAACCTCCCCTTCGTTTTGCTTTCCGGTCTTGAAGCAAGCTCCGACGATGATCTGCAGTGCGTGCGAGCTGATTATCCCCTCCTCCGAGAGAGGGGCGTGAAGATATACTCGGATTTCCCGCCTCTGACCGGCTCAGTTGCGGAGGAATTGCGGCGTGTACTTCTCGAGGAAAACGCTTTCCGTGCCCCGTGGGATACTAGTGAGGATGCACATGCATCTTCATCCAGAATTGAGTACAAAATCAGAAGCGTTGGACGGGTAGGTTGATAACACCTTGGCTGTCGAAGCATTGCCCCCTTCCTCGTTGCACCTGCACTTCGGAGACAAACAGCTAGCCCGCCCGCACCTACTTACAGGGCGAAATTTCGTACCACGCGCAAGCTTCCTTTGCTACTTCTCATTTGGCAATTCTACTGGTACTATTGCCGCAAGGCCCGCGTTCACGCCGCTGACTTCTTCTTTTAGTCCTACAGTCTCCCCCCGCGCAAAGCTGACCCCCCACCCGTATCGCCCACGAGCCCGACGGCCGGACAAGACGATGAGATATCGCGTGGATCCTCCTTCAACCTTCATTCTCCCATATCCCCACTTACACCCAGCTCGCCGACGTTTCCAGATGGCCTGCTTAGCCATCTATGGGTCACTAAACACCAGGACCTTGTCCCTGCGGCAGTGATCAATTTCTTCCCCTTCTGCTTCGATCCTAATATGAGCTCGCTGCGCGACAACCAACTCAAGATAGAAATAAATGGATTGAAGAAGGAATGGGCCTCTTCTGGATACAAATCTCGATTTATAGTTGTTCTCTTGTCAGAAGAGAGCACGGGCAGCTATGCTGGGGATACGGAGGACAGGATGGCTAGCATTCGGAGGGCAACGAATCTGGATCAAAAATCTATATTTCTCCTTCCGTCCGATGCGACGCCAGTGGAATTGAAGGAATTCGCCACGTCCCTGTTGTCTCTACTCCAGCCATCGGTGATGGAATACTACCGCGACCTATCGAAGCATGCCAGGCGCAAACGAAATCGAGGCACCATCCCCCCGCCAACAGCACCACCAACAAGTGGGACGTCCCAGACCTTATCGTCTCAAGGATGGAATGTTCGATATGAATTCAAACTGGGTATCTTTGCGGAATTCCGCCAAGAAATCGATGCCGCGCTTCGGAACTATGAAAGCGCATACGAGACCCTATTTGGTCAAGAGGTGTTCGAATATATTGCTGGCTGGAATCCTAGGTTTAATGATGCACGACTTCTGGGGGATGCATTGGCCATACGTATCATTCGCGGCTTGTTGATGACGGGACAGACAACACCTGCTGTGCGGTTCTGGACTAGCCACCGGAATCGTTCAAAAGATATCATCGACCGGCGCGGAAAAGGCACCAAGAGTTATGGCTGGGCAGCCTGGGAAGCTAGGTGGTCGATGGTAATGGCCCAGCTCATTCGCCAAGCCAATATCCCCTACTTCACCTCCGTCGGCATCCCCCAGGATCAGTTTCAAGAGCAGTACTCAATTTTCGTACCACGCGACAAAACGGTTTCCCCTTCGGATGCATATCTTCCGTGGGAACAGCTTCATCATGAGGGTTATTGGCTCTATCGAGCGGCGCAGTATACCATGTACCGTCGAACCTTGGCGGAGCAGATTCCAGAAGACGATCGGATACCACCGGGACAATCTCCCGCGTCCCAGATAGCCAATAAGTCTTATCTATACGACACCTATCTGGTACCTGAGCCACATGTCGAAGCACCCCAGCCGGGGGCGGTCGGTTTCAACCACGCACTGTTAAGATTAGATGCCTTGAAAGCGGCACTCGAAGAGTTCTCGAAGAGAGACCAAAACCGGAAAGCGGAGAGCATTAGCCTGGAGATTGCAGAAGAATACATGCGCCTAAGCTCATGGCCGGAGGCTTACGAAATCCTTCGACCACTGTGGTCGACTTTGTCATGGCGACGTTCGGGCTGGTGGCCGCTCATGCAAAGGTTTGGCTGGGCCCTAAGGGAATGTGCCGTACGCGTGAGCGATAGCGATATGGTCCTGCGCGTTGACTGGGAACTCCGACATAAGGGTGAGCTTATTCTACTACTAAATCGTCTTGCACTGTTTTGTCATCGCAGCTTCGCTTGCCTTCACTAGTCACCTGTCTAACATCATATTATTCTTTCAGTGTTCCAACCGCGGCCTGACTGGATGTATGATCTCCATAAAAGTCTCGAGGACTTTCCTTTAGTGATTCCAAAGCCATCGGTGGTCCTGCGCGCGGAGGACATTGTGCCCAGCGGTAAGTTATCACAGAAGCATCCCATAACCACTTAAAATCTTACTGACGATTTCACCGGGCTCTAGTCACCGCGTCTTTCGTCTTTCAAAGTTCCGAAGGAAATGTCGGCGAGCCGTCTAAGGGCCAGCTTATCATCACTTCCTGTGCCCAGCCCTCATCGAGCCCTCTCACATTCTCCGAAGTGAAGGTAGTGTTTGAGGGTTGCCTGCGGCCAATACGGCTTCAGTCTGATCGCAACGTGGACACCGATACGGTTACACCCTGCACAATAACTTCGCCATTGCTACGTGACCCCAGTACGGCTGAAGACCCGGCAGCTTTGCAATCACCTACGAGCGGATTGACTGCTTTGACTGGGCTAGCGGACCTGACGTTTGGGCCTTCCCAGACTAAGGTATACGATATTACATGCATTCCCAGAGAAGCCGGGGAGTCCCGTGTCGCGTCCATAACATTGACCGTCGAGGAAGAAAAATTTGATCTTACCAACGCGATAACCGATTTGACTCCATATGAGTCCTATTGGTGGCAGCAAACGTCCAAGGGCCCAAGCAGACGGCGCGTGGGCAAAGGCCGCGATACGGGCCGTTGTAAGATACTACCCAAACCACCAAAGATACGGGTAGAGCTGCTGAACCTTCGAGAAACGTACTATACGAATGAGGAAATATTTCTCCGAGTAGGTGTCGACAACGAGGAAGAAGAGGCTGCAGATGTTTCTGTTGAGACTAGACTTTTCGGCCGGCCGGAGTCCACGGCTAAGATACGGTGGCTAGATGAGGAGAATTCCTCGGAGATGCACGGGTCTGGGGAGAGTACTCCGACAGAAGGCAATTCTCACCACCTGAAGCGACCGATAGGGGTGATGGAACGCTCATCTCATCAAGAACTAACGATTGTGGTTACGGATACCAACGATGCTTTGGATTATGAGCTTGAAGTCTCTGCGCTCTACAACCTCGTCTCTGATGTCCAGACACCTATCATCGCGAGCATGCGTGTTAGCCTCTCAATTATCAGGCCATTCGAGGCCAATTATGAATTCCTTCCACGCCTTCATCCTCAACCCTGGCCGGACTTCTTCACTGTGGATGACAAGTTACTTCCAAATGGGGATGAGGTCAAGCCCGGAGGTTTGCAGCAGAGATGGTGTCTCAACTCCAAGGTTGTCTCTTTTGCTGTGGAGCCCCTGGTTGTCGAAAAAATGTCATTAGTGTTGCTTGGACTAGGCGGCGCTGCCACCTGTCACATTGGGTCGGAGGAAATCATCAGTCCTGAGGTGGCGGAGATCCGTCCGGAGGAGCTTCGAGAATCTAACTTCATCATGGACATTCAGAAGGAAATCTTGGGTGACCGCAGACCTACAGCCTTAAACCTCGCCCTAGAGATTCGCTGGAGGCGCAGTGCAACAGACGACGGTGCGATGAACGACGGATCCACAACTACCACGACCACGCTTGATATCCCCCGATTCGTTATGCCAGCAGGTGAGCCTCGGGTGGTCGCCTCAGCTAAGGCGTCTGATACACTTTCGGGGTTGATCCATCTTGATTACACACTAGAGAACCCGTCGATGCACTTCCTTACTTTCAACCTGAGCATGGAAGCAAGTGAGAACTTTGCGTTCAGCGGACCGAAGACGATGGTCGTGCAGTTGGTGCCTTTAAGCAGACACACGGTCCGGTACAACTTGCTGGCATCTAAACGAGGTCTGTGGATCCAGCCGCAGCTCCTGGTAGTCGATACATATTTCAACAAGACTCTGCGGGTGCTACCGACGGAAGACATGCGGTCGGATAAGAAAGGAATCTTAGTCTGGGTTGATGCCGACGATTAAAGGGTGCGGCGAGGGTCATGGAAAACAGTTTGTATGTAGCGTGGGGCGTGGTATGTATGGGGAACTTGGGGTTAGATCTGGACCATTTTCAATTGAATTGAGATCATAGATCAAGTGCTATAGACAGATACCCAGTAGATGTACTCGTTATCCTTTCACTTAGTGCAACTTAATCTAGAGCAGCTAGTTATCTATTTATCGATTATCAAGATAGTAACTACCGCTCTCGCTCACGTGTCGAGCCCTTATCACGCGCTACCAAAAGAGGACTAGCGGCGGCGATCGGAGCGACGCCCGCAGCTCCTCCCCAATCCGGAGTTGCAACTTGCGCCCGTTCGTTCCTTCCCTGCCCGGACTGCCAGTCTTCCACCTCAACTTCGTTCTTCCGTCTCTTCCCCTCGCTTCTTCGCCTTCCTCTTCCCCTCACCTGCTCTCCCCTATACCAATTCGCATGCTGCATTGTGCTGGGCTTTCTTCTTGTTGAATACGTCCCATAGAACTCCGTATTTGTCCTATCCATTTTGGGAAACCCGTCCTCGTTCGTTCGGCTGCTGTCGCCATCACTCTGGCTGCCACTGCTGTAGTAGTACCTCCACTACAATTCCGGCCATGGCGGCGCAGGCAGCTCTGATTGCCGACACCATTGTTGGCATGAAGAGAGCCCTCCGCAAGGAGAATGACTGTGCGTCCTTTACTCTCCCCGCTGTCTCTATCTTTTTCCTCTAACCGTTCGCTCTTGTTCAGACTCTGGACCCGACGATCCGATCACTCAACCAACAAATCGGGGTAATAAACTACACACAAACTCGAACTTCGTCCGAGAAGGTGCTCTCGGTTACATACATCCGGAGGAGCTTTATAAACAGGTTAGTTCCACCCCCGCGGCCATCGAAAGATCTCTCTTTCATGGGGGCATTAGTCGATCAGGGTGATGATGATAAGGAAGGCACGCTGATGACTAGGGAAACTTATCTCTCTATAGAAAATTGAACATGCTGGATACACGCGTTATATCCTGCAGCCTAATCCCGTGCGCTATGATTCAGAAGGTGATGAGTTGGACGAGGATGACGAAGATTCCGAAGCTGATGCCGCTGCGGCGGCAGAAAATCCATTCTCGGAAATTGCGCTTGAAAGTGAGGCCTTCTGTTCCATCTTGACGCCTTTTCAGGTTTTCTTGCTAATCAAGCACCACAATTGAAATTTAGACTTCCTTTGCCCTCTAAAACACCCGTCCGAGCTCCCTACCCATCCTTCCCTATCGCACGCCTATACGTCAAAGGCGCTGCTGCACATGACGCAGGCAATCGAAGCCAAACTCCGCCAAGAAAGAGCACTGCTTTGGCGGGCCAGGAATCTGCACCGGCAGTTTTTGGGAGACAGTTCTTGGATGCCGTCTGGTGCAGTGGAGACGCCTGAAGACAGATGGATCTTTGAGCCCCGGATAGCCCATACGACGCGTAGCTCACCTGGGAGTCAATACAGACATAACGGGGCCGCAAGTCCTTTGGTGCCAGGGCCTTCGGCTCAGAAAAGCAGTGTGCAAGGCACGTCCGTGGGTGCAAGTGATTCAAAGTCGCCTCAGCCTCCCCAGAACGAGAATTCCCAGGACAAAACTGCCGCAGATAAGGACGTTGAGATGACCGACATTCATGGCCAGGAGACGACGCACAAAGAAATCGTCACAAATGCGCTTGAACAACCCCGAGAGCCGAAATCAGAAGAAGTTGATACCCCAGTTGGCGACCTGCCTCATCATTCAGAGACCATCAATCAAGTCATACAAGTCAATGGAAGCCTCACGGCAAACGCAAAGTCTAATGGGGATAAAGTGACGAACTCAGATGGCACTTCGGACAAGGATGGCAAGGAGCGCGAAGGTGCCACAAACCAGGGCAATGCGCAGCCTGATCCTGAACTCCGAGACGATGCACAGGTAGACGGGACGGATGCGGACGCAGATGCAGATGCAGAAATGCAAGATGGATCATCTCCCGAGCCACCTCGGCGCATGACGACCCGGGCACAGGCTAATGCAGCGAACCCACAGGAGGGCGAATCTGGACCCCTCTCCCCGTCCCCTTCTGACGACACATTAGGGAGTCTTCCGACACCCCATCCTCTTTTCCTTATACCGGACTCTGTTCGGCCAGATTCGAACTTCGGCCTCCCGCCCAACGAAGCGGAAGAGACACGTCGACTGCTTTGGTCTTATGTACAAAAGCAGGAGGAGACCGTTCGTGGATTTGAGCATATGCTGGAGTCTCTGCTCCGGGCCAATCGGATGAAAGAGGATGTGCTCGAGTGGTGCAAAGCGGAGGGGCACGTGGGCGAGATGAGCGATGGAGAAGACTGGTACGATCGGGAGAAATGGGGCCTTGCCGAAGGAGAAGACCTTAAGAAGGGTGCTGATGAGGATGAAATCGAACCGGTGGAAGAGAGCCGGACGTCGACCAAGAGAGGCCGAGGTCGACGGGCATAGGCTGGATCCTTGTTGAAGTCGACAGGTGTGTTGGCTTTGGATGTCCCTCTGATGCAGCTCTTGCCATCTGCACGCTCATATCACTTGCGCTTTCCAAAAACTCATAGCGTGGAGTTGGCGGCGTTTTGGGGAGGTGAGCCAGGTATCCCATATTAGACTACCACGGACAATTGGTGTGAGTGAGATGGTCTTTTGCCCCTTCACTTTTCCCTTGACGGGAATGTGGATTTTGAAACAGGTGCTTTCATTTACCATCCCTGGCGGGAGTATGGTGTGATTTTATGATAGTTGATGATCATGGCGAAAGCGCACAAGCGTAGCAAATGATACCCGTTGTTCCTGTTTATCTATACTTGAGAGTAGGAGACTGCCATGTGGTAGGTCAACGTTGTAGTAATTTTTCTTCTCCGTTCTATCTGAGCATCTCAATGTAACCCCGCTTTCATTTCTTCTTTTGTTCCTTCTCAGTGGCTCTACGTAGCCAGCTGTTGTTGCTATTGCCTACCCTATCCTGCCCCATGCTCTCGCTCTCGTTCTAACTCTCCACCCCTTCCTTCCACTTCTCACTGGACACAACCAGACTGCCTAGCCGACCTTAATTTGCAGCCCTGTGTAGACTCAGAACAGTAGCTTAGCGAGCTCTGTGTTTCCACTCAGGGACTGGCGAGACTGGAATGATGTCGAAAGGTCCAAGCTCCACTGGCGGGAGGCAAATGGGCGGTAATCCAGACCCCCGGACATAGATTCCCGTGAAGTCCCGGCTTACAAGCTCTTGCCGCCGCGCTTGGATTTGGCACGCTCGCGTTCCCGCTTGGCGTAGATTTCCGCCGTGAAGGGACTACCAAGCCCGGGTCAGTGGGTTTTAACAATTCCGTGCGTGGGGAATAAAAATCTCATTTTGCGTTGGGGCTTGAGACACATGTGCATATGGGCTTTGGTGTGCAAAAAAAGAGTAAAGGCAAGTCCATGGTGCATAGTGGGCCAATATAGAAAAGATAGATGGGATACTTACTCCTCCCACTGGAGAGCGAACCAGTACAGGATGAAGACCTCGGCCGTCAGGAAGACGCCCGCCACCTTGCCCCTGTAGAGAGCAACGCCCAAGAAGTTCAAAGTACTGCCCCAGTACATGGGGGAACCAGTGACGTTGAAGGGGAAGCCGGTGACAGGCGCATCCATCAGGATACCGAAGTAGTCGCCAAGGTAGGTGCCGGTGACACCGAGGGCATACATGCTGGACAGGACGAGGACGGAGCCGAAGGCGAAGAGAAGGCCGCCGAGGACGGGTTGGTGCACAGGGGCATAGTAAGGTTGGTCTTCCAGGGCCACTTGGTAGACATGATCTCGCAGAATTCCCAGACTGAAGATGGTGACGGCGAGGAAGTAGCAGCCGTAGTAGGCATTACCGAATATACGAGTCAAGAAGTGACTCCGATACTCTACAGATTGCGATGACCGAGGAAATTTGTCATAAGCCTCTTATACTGTAAAATGAACGGAGGAAAGAGGTGGACGTGGGAAAAGGTAGAGAGCCAAGGCAGAAGCTGCCAGAGCTGGATTCCTTGTAGGACTGGGGTAAATGTTTTTGAAGTGGGAGATGGGACCAACCAGCACGGGCGACAATGCTGGGTAGAATAATGTTTAGCAATGGAAAGAATGTAATATGGCAGAGTACTTACTTCCAGAAGATAGGGTTAAAGGCGATTGACAGCGCGGCCCCTGTTTGAGAGAGAGAAAAAAACAGTTACAATCACATGCGGGGAGGGAGGGAAGAGAGGGGATTAGCCGGGGAAAGCTCCACGTACATTGGAGGGACGGCTGGGAGAAGTCGACAAAGTTGGACAAGGAAGCCATGAGGAAGGAAGATTAGAAGATGAGAGATAAGGTATAAGGAAAGAAGAAAGGGGACAAGGAACGGGGAAGAGAAGAAGGTGAAGAGGGAAAGGAAGAAGGAAAGGGAAAGCAAAGAGAAGAAGGACAACAAGAAGAAGAAGAAGTGGAGAGAAGAAAACATTCCCGAAACGGCATGACGTCTTGAAAAAGACGCACGGGATCTTACAAGTTACAACTTACGAGACAAGGCCTCAGGCAGAATTACCATGTACTAGTATAGTACCACAGTTCAAAGTTATTTCTCTCCTCATTTGATGATGATCGTATATCTTCTATAACTTACACTACTACCATTTACATCTATCGCATTATCATAAATAAACCCCAGCTGCAGACCTTGAAGGAAGGAGTTAAGTTATCTAGTACCTGAGTGACGCAACTACTACTAGCCTCTCCAACTCACCGCCTGATCCAATCCATCCTTCTTCTTCCTCTTTACTTTTAGTTATCTTCTCAAAATTGTCCCCTCATAGCTCTTGTTCTGATTCTTCCATCTTCTTCTCTAACCTGCAGTCCTCACTTTCTTTTCTCCATCATGTCTTGCTTCGGCCCTCTCTCGGCTTTCCTTGCCTGACCGGCATGGCAGCGCATCCGCTCCAGGGAGAATGGCCCTGAAGCATCGCGATTATGTCCTCCTGGGCATTGGTGCCTTTATAGCCTGGGGTCTCGCCGTCAAATGGCTCCCCATACTGAGATATCTGGGTTATGCTCTGGTGCTCGGTGCTTTTCTTTCCTCCGCCGTGTTGTTCGCTCTCGTGCTTCTCACCATCCGCTCCCCCAATGACGCTGTTGCTTCTTCACCTTCGCCCACGAACCCCCGCGTCGCATTCCTCGCCCGCCACCACTGGGATCAAGAAACCCAGGCATTCAAAAGCCGTTCAATCTATAATCCACATTCACTCTACCCACAATCCTTCATCGTCTCGGAAGGGATTGACGAGCTCCTATCCTTCGCCACGCGGGATTTCATCGCATCATGGTACCAGCATATCAGTCCCAACCCCACGTTCGTCAACGAGGTGGATCATACGATTCGGACAGCCATTGGAAACCTGCGCGATAGGCTCCTGACGGAAGACCTTGTCTCTCTCGTAGTGTCCCGGATTTTCCCCGTTCTGACATCCCATCTGAAGGAGTTTGAGGTTGCTGAGCGCTTGGTCCGGGGAAGGAATCTTACCAGGAATGTCACGGAGTCGGAAGAGTTGGACATTGCCATCGCGAGCAAGTATCGCGAGGGGAACTTACACCCGGCGGCAATGCTGTCTCTCTCCGACCAAAAGTTACTGGAACAGGAGTACCTCCGCAAAATTGCCGTCGGGCTCCTGCCCCAACTGTTTCCGGAATCCGTCCTCAATAGTCGCATTGTTTCCGTCTTGATTCGTGAGATTGTAGCCTGCGCTGTGCTCTTCCCTCTCGTTTCTGTCCTCTCCGATCCGGACACATGGAATCAGCTGATGGAGGCCTATGGCCGCACCGCGATTCAGGACCGTAAGACTGTCCGGAAACTCAGGGCGGCCCTGGACGAGCATGCATCCCCGGCTCCCAGGTCGAAGAGGGGTCACCCGTTCCCTCGACTTAGTCCCCATGATTCAGAGCGCGCCTTCGAGCGATTTGTCCGGGCCATCCGGCGCTGTAACAATCTTTCGGACGCCAGACGCTTCAGAGCCTTGGTGGCAAGCCAACTGAAGCGGGAGACTATGGTGGAAGGACAGGACCAAGTTTACCTCCGACGACTGGAGACCGGTAAGAGGGTCTTGGACCAAAAAGTAGCTAAGCTGTCTGCCCCCGGAGGCACTCAGATGTCGCACGCCTCCGCGGCTGTATCCCACTTTCGCCGTAAGAATTCTATTCCTCAGGAAGCCTCCTTAGTGGATGTCATGCATGATGCGTCGGGTCTCTCTTACTTCATGGAGTTTATGGACCGTCAGCAGCTCATGTCCCTAGTTCAATTCTGGATCGTGGTCGACGGTTTCCGCAACCCTCTGGAGGATGATTTCGGAGACGAAAGCTCCCCGACCTCCACTAGCTGGACCCCAGCGGACCGAAGTGACATGGCTCTGATCAGTGAGACGTATCTCTCGAAACCGGAGTTAAAAGTATCGGATGAGTCCCGTCGGGTGGTGAAGGCCTTCCTGAGCGCAGGGAAGCGGGCCACCTCGGAGCAGTATCGAAAGGCTCGGACGGTCATTTTGAGCACTCAATCCGCGGTGCTCGATAAGCTTCAGGAAATCTACTACCCGAAGTTCAAGCAGTCAGATCTCTACTATAAATACCTTGCCTCGGATGAAGCATCCCAAGCGGGCCCGCAGTCCCCCCAACAGAGCTCTCCGAACATTGCTGAAGTGCCCGAAAGGCGGCCTTTACCTCCTCTGATGTCTCGCACCTCATCACAACCTGGCGCCAGGCCCAAAGATTTGCGACGAGCGGCGGTTTCTTCGAGCGATGTTCGAAGCATGGGCAAACTGTTTGATGACGATGAATCTTCGAGGCGCTCATTCGATTCCGAGCGATCTGCACCGCTGTTTGACGATGACTACGATACAGATCCACTGGCAATGTCGACACAAAGCCTAGGGAAAGACTCACAAAACGGCGAAACTGAGGCGAACCAAAACCAAGTCATCGAGAATATGGAGGCAGCGTTAAACGACATCATCGCGAGCGAGCCCAAGAATACTCGAATTGAAGATTTGAAGAACGCCGATGTGTCCCCGTCTGCATTGCCCGCTAGCGACCCTTTCCCCCGGTCGCCGCGCAGCTCAATGGATATCCCTCGGGCAGATAGTCGGACAGAGGACCGTATCAAGCCGAGCATTGCCTCATTAGGCCTCGTGGATCGATCCTCACGCCAGGGGGTCTTCGATGACGATCTCTTCCCTGAACAACAGAAGTATATCGAAGACGAATATGAAGAGCCGATGGGAACAGATACAGATCCGGCCGATCAAGTCCATGAGGCGGCTCCTGGGGATCTCGGATTGACGGAGGCCATTGAGGCGCTCACCGCAGATATCGATAAGCTCGGATCTCAAGAGTCAGTGGTAGACACGCTTACTCGCAAAGCTGAACTTACCAACAACACCGCGGAGTTGAGGATTCTGCGCAAA